GGAAGATGATATTTATTAATAATTTATTTAAAGTAAATACTAACACCAAATGTTTCATCAAATAAATTTGATGAAAAAATTCACATTTTGCTGCTCCAATCCAGCACCAAATGTTTCATCAAATCTAGGATTTCTCAAAATTTTTATTAAATTGAGGATAGACTTGTTTTTCATCAAATTACTGTTCATAGCCGTTGGAACTACATGTTATTTGCACCACCAGACAACTGGCCGATTGTCCCTCAAATGACCACCTCCTTGTAAAAATTTGTAAAAAAATTACACTGACTGGTTGTCCTCCCCCGATCGTCCTCCCAATCAATTGGTAGTTTTATTAAATTTCAAATCATTCTATTAGAATTGAAACCTGTTTCTGACTCAAAATTTCCACTGTATCAAGAACGTTATTTGGGCCCACAAATTCCAATTTTGCCTTGTTTGGTTTGTAATGGGGTTGTGATGAATTGGGTAGTCCTTTTTCCATGTGGTCATGGGTTGTTTTATATGAAAGCTTTGAATGAAGTACAGAATCCATCGGAAAGCAGGCTTCCTTCATCCCATGATCCGCAGCAGCGGTTCCACAGGATGCAGAGGAAGCCCCGGACGGTTTGACAGATGGCAGATGAGGACTAATCACCGAGGCAGAAGAAGGGTTGTAGCCTAATGCAGATGCAGAATTCTGATTTTGTGAGAAAGAACCAATTCCATCAACAAGCGGCTCCATTGGAGTAATTTTGCAAAGGCACTGTCACATCACAATCCAATTGAACAAGTCACACCCCTAAAACAAAGCGATCATTTTCATAATACTCAACCTCTAAAGATTAACGTAATGTCATGGTTTACACAATCATCAAAGCAAAGAAATTGAAGCAAATGCGTGTGTTTGAGAACACTCAATACACAAATCAAATCAAATCAAATTCAATGAATCTGAAGTCCATTGGATAAAATCGCCAAGGTCATGTACAATTAAAGAAACATCACAATGATTACGGAGGCAACAACAAAACATGTAACGTGATTCACAATCATACACCTTTTATATAAAATAAATAAATATCTTAAAATCACAAAAAAACCCCCAGAAATTCAGACTGCTTTCACGGTTGAAAATCAACAAGTAAAGGACCACCGTTTGATCACTGAGAGAAAAGGTAGGAAAAGGAAAGAAAGCTTGGGGATCCTGTAACAGGTGAGGAGCGCTTTTTTTTTTTCCCTTTCAGACGCTTT